CTTGGGTTCAATTCCACATCAGATCAGATTTGTATAACTGACCTTCAGCACACAGGCCACACCAAGCACTAGGTAATGACCTGGGAAGTAAAGGCTCTTGGTGTGAAACTGAACACACGACCCATGACGTGTCCACTATCTACAGAAATAAGTCTATCACTATACGCCAGAGTCATCAATAGTGTAAAAAAGGAATTTTACTTACTTCTGAAATTTACAAGTTGTTGTTTGTTGTTTATTGTTTGTGTTCATTGCCTGTAAACCCCGGCGGAAAGACCGGGTTGTTCATCCATTTCTGGACTTTGCTTTGTTCCAGGAACTGAGTTTTTGCATGTGCATCCGTTTTACAAACTGTGCCTATCTGTATGCAGACTGCTGGTTTCCTGCCTTGCAGGCAGATGCACTCCAACTTTGAAGGAAGCCCTCAATTAGTCGACTCTTATCACATGCTTGTTGGGGTGGCAGTGGGTCTGTTCTTGTTTACCCCACAGTGGGGCCCTGGAACCCACATGGAGAAAATTCACAAGTAAAAAGCAGCACACTCACTCACAAACGGCAGACATGCTGTGAATTTTCAACTCACGGTCTCTGTTTTCATTAAAGCACATATGGGAGTGAAAAAACATCCCAGCAAAATTTAGATATGCACTGAATGTGTGTTCTCAAACTGAAGACTGCTGTGTGTTAAAATCTATGGTACAAATTGTGTACATCTTGTATAAGTGTATCTTGTAAACTACATTCATAGCGTTTATCTTGTTTTGTAAATTACATGACTAGTGTGTAATATGTATACATTACACAACCTGTGCGTACTATATTGTAAATCACATAACTAGTGTGTATTTTTTTTTTTATTGCGTAACCAGTGTGTATTTTTTTTCTAAATTAAATAACCAGTGTGTATTTTTTTTAATTACATAACCAGTGTGTATTTTTTTTTAATTACTTAACCAGTGTGTATTTGTTTAAATTACATAACCAGTGTGTATTTTTTTTTTCAAACTATATAACCAGTGCATATTTTTTTTATTTCATAACCAGTGCAAATTTTTTTTATATTACATATCCAGTGTGTGTGTGTTTTTGTTTAAATTACATAACCAGTGCGTATTTTGTTTAAATTACATAACCAGTGCGTATTTTGTTTTTAATTACATAACCAGCGCATATTTGTTTTGAAATTACATAACCATTGTGTATTTCTTTTTATTACATAACCAGAGCGCATTTTTTAAAAATTACATAACCAGTGTATTTTTTTAAATTACATAACCAGTGTGTATTTTTTAAATTACATAGCAAGTGTATTTTTTTTATTACATAACCAGTAAATTTTTTTAAATTACATAACCAGTGTGTATTTTTAAAATTACATAAGCAGTGTATATTTTTACATTACATAACCAGTTTGTGTATATATATATTTAATTTCATAACCAGTGTGTTTAATTTTGTAAATTAAATAACCAGTGTGCCTTGTTTTAATTATATACCCAGTGTGCATTAACTTCTTTAATTACTCTTAATTACATAGCCAGTATGTATGGCTATTTAAAAAATATATATAACCAGGTTATACTGTTTTGTAAATTACATAACTATGTATACTTTTTTGGTATATTACAAAACTAGTGTGTATTATTTAGCAAATTACAAAACCAGAATGAATACTTTTGTAAGTTATATAAACTATTATTTTGCAAATTACATAAACTATCATTTCATAAATTACATAAACTGTGTATTGTGTATATTACATAAACAGAATGTGCGATCTCACTCAGCATGCAAACGGTGTTGTTTTACAAAAGCAGTGTGTTTTCTTTCCATTATGTTACCTGTTACCTATACATTACATAAACAGTGTGTTATTTTATTTTGTAGTAAAAGCATATATTGTGTGCATTATATAAAAAGATTGTAGTGGGTGTGAATCGTGTTTATTACATATGTGTGTGTTATCTTAAATAGCACATAAACAATCTGTGTTATTCTTTATGTCACATAAACAGTGTAAATATGTTATCATATGTGTTATACAACAGTCTGTGTTTTCTTGCATACTACACAAACAGTGTGTTTTATCTATAAAAAAAAGGTTAACAATAAGAATAAGTTACCTTTCTCAGTATAAATTAAAAATAAGTGATTTCTTGTCAGTTACATTAACAGTGTCAACTTGTTACCACAAACATGATTGCGTGACCTGGGAGTAAAGAATAGTGAAGCCTGTCTATGCTGCCTTCAAGGGCAAGATGGGAGACATTATAACCAAATCTGCATGAGAACAATCAGTAGAAGTACCCTGGAGAGGCTGCTGCACTGCGGAGAAACTGAGCACACATAGGAATGCCCAATGTGCAGTAAAAGTCTACTGTGATAATATATCATAAGATAATTTTTACCAGCCTCTTTTCTTTCTTTTAACTCTTTGAGTCCCAAGGAACGCATCATACGTTCATAGGTTCCTGCCGAAAGGCCCAATGAACGCAAGATGCGCTGATTTTACATCTCTTTTGACTACCCCTTGGGCCTCTGATGCTAAACCCCCTGGGACTCAAAGAGTTAAAGTACCATCTCCATAAGAAAGGATAGCTACAGTGCTGTCTCTCTAAATCTTACCCGGCGAGGCCCCAGTTTCTTCCACTGTTCGAAAGCTGTGACAACTGTCAATTCACCAGTCACTCGCACATTTTTCTTTTTCTTGTTGTTTACTGGCTGTAACCTCTGAAGGAAAGTTCTGGCTGTCTGTCTAATTCTGAACTTTGGTTTGGATCTACTGGTTCCTAACCTCTCAAGCAAATGCATTCTGATTTCAAAGGAAACACTGCTAAGTAGTTGCTTTTTACAAGGAAACACCCCTAATTAGTTGCCTTTTACAAGGAAACACCCCTAATTGGTTGCCTGTTACAAGGAAACACCCCTAACTGGTTGCCTTTTATAAGGAAACACCCCTAATTGGTTGCCTTTTATAAGGAAACACCCCTAATTAGTTGCCTTTTACAAGGAAACACCCCTAATTGGTTGCTTTTTACAAGGAAACACCCCTAATTGGTTGCCTTTTACAAGGAAACACCCCTAATTGGTTGCTTTTTACAAGGAAACACCCCTAATTGGTTGCCTTTTACAAGGAAATACCCCTAATTGGTTGCTTTTTACATAGAAACACCCCTAACTAGTTGCCGTTACAGCAGGTATATTAAATAAGCCAGATCTGTAAAAATAGAGTTTACGCACAACTTAGGTTCGGGAACAAAGGTCCAGAAGTGGACAAATAACCAGAACTTTCTGCCAGTTTACAGCTGGTGACCACCAGAAGAAGACATACCTTACATGAGATAGAAGACTGGACAGACATAATAACCAACACTACAAGTTTTTGCATTATGGTATGGAGGAAAATCTAAATCAGAAATAATTAGCAGCATACTTGTATCATACAGAAGGCTGTGAACAGATGTAATATTCAACACCACATAGTGTGCATCGTAAGAAAATGCTACATTATCAATATGTAGCTTTTTTTCCCCCTCAAGTATTCTGATGTAGACAGTCATAAATCTAACGTAGCCGATTTTTGCTGAACTCAGATAATACTGCTCCAAAGTGCCACCAACGATACTTGTGTAGCGATATCTGGAATCTGGAATCACAGGCACACAAAGGAAGTTTTTTTTTTTAATATGCAATATTTAAATAAGGTTTATATTTGGTTTCTCCTTATTCTTCTGCATTCTGCCTTAAAAGGGTGGTTAGCATATATTGTGTTGTGTGAAGCAATTAGGTTGTGATATCTGCGGGTTCGGCCCAGCACATCCAATTTCAGCAAACTCTTGATTAGCTGCCTTACATTATATGATTGTTTTCTGTCTGGGTTCTTTTTTTCCCAACATGGGGCCCAGCAACCCACATGGGTAACATCTGATTTAAAGCGTGTTTAAGGGCGAGAGGTTCGACTCCACTGCACAATTTTCATCACGTGCAGGGTTTGCTATGCTGTTGGCACTGCATCAAGCACAAACTTCATAGACAACATTCAGCGAACGGAACAACAAAACCCGAAACCAACCCCACTCATGAACTTTCAAACCATGACACAAATTGTTTTAACCACCTTGCCAACATCTGGTCTGGTCTGGTTTATAAGGGATCACTTTCAATACATGATGGGACACTCTCATAAGTGATTAAGTCTGATTAGTGATTCTCATAAGTGATTAAGCCTGATTAGTGATTATCATAAGTGATTAAGTCTGATTAGCGATTCTCATAAGTGATTAAGTCTAAGTGATTCTCATAAGTGATTAATTCTCATAAGTGATTCTCATAAGTGATTCTCATAAGTGATTAAGTCTCATAAGTGATTCTCATAAGTGATTAAGTCTCATAAGTAATTCTCATAAGTGATTAAGTCTCATAAGTGATTCTCATAAGTGATTAAGTCTCATCAGTCTTCCTCTTCTTCTTCTTAGCTTTCACCCGTTGTGAACTCTGGCAGAAAGTTCTTTGTTCATACACTTCTGAACTTAGGACCATATTTTATGGACCAAATGACACTCACTAATGGGAGATATGTTCAACATATCGCCAGCCACCTTATTTCACATGACTTTTCCTGGAAACCCATACCGGGAGCCCGAGTCAATTAAAAAATCTAACTCAATGCAGATTTGAACCCAAGACCTTCAGGTCAGCAGGCAAGCATCTCAGTACTGCTCCCGCACAACTCCCAGATTAATTCTACGAGACAGGGCTTTTCACTTAAGTTTACTCAGGGACCAAAATGTTGAAAATGGGGACTGCATGAGGCCCCAGCCTCAGCATTAATACAGAATAATTTACAATGACCATGGCCACCTGCTAGGCTTCTGTGGGCTGCCAATTAAATAGCCCTACTCTATGAGAAATATCCTAGACAAACAAAGATTAGCTACCAGTCTGAGGGGAACAAGAAAAACCAGGCTGCAGTAATAGCTCACTTGTTTAATGCATCTTCTCTAGGCTGTGTTCTGGAAATGGGGAGTCTGAAATCACACAAGAAAACAGAAACTGCTTAACACTTGAGCGAGTTGAGGAGTTGAGCTGAGTCAAGAACTGACATAACAGCATTTTGGGCATTCCCATGCATGCTCGGTCCTCATCTTCAGCAGCCAGCGCAGAGTTCCAATACTGATGGTACCGGTCACAATCTGGTTATATGTCCCTCTTGCCCAGGTGCCTTATTCAACTTGGGCAGATGCACTCTGACTTCAAAGTAAGCCACCTATTAGACGACTCTTCTGACATCCTTGTTGGGGAGTCAGGGGAGGCAGTTGTTTCCCCCACAATCTGGCCCTGAAACCCTACAGAGAAACTAGAAAATTTTACAACTGCCTGGAAATGGCTAATGAAAGTAGAACATTATATACAACAATGAGAAGGAGACAAATGAAGTTCTTTGGTCATGTGATGAGAAAAGGAACACTGGGAAATATTGTGATGACTGGAAAGATCACTGGTAGAAGAGGCAGAGGCAGACCAAGAGAAATGACAGTGGATGGTTAAGACAGTGGCATGGAGGAATATCATCAGGGGAATTGATCCAGAACACCAGAGACCGAGATCTGTGGAGACGCATGCATGCATGCCTGCGCCAGCTAGCAAGGCACTTGATGATGATGAAGTTTGCTATGGCCCACTGGATGGTTGGTGCTCCATGTCATTGTGAAAATCAATGCCAAGCGGTCTGCTGTTAAATAACCTGCAGCTGGAATCGAACCAGATATCTCGAAATTAAATATTATTAACATCAGATTAATCCCAGCTGAATCTTGACCTGGTGCTGCTATAGCAAAAGACCCTTTTCATGCCATTCGCTCAAACATATGGTGCTAAACCCATAAATATATAGATGCTAGCTACTGAACTGGTCAGTGCCTGTGGCTTCGGGGTTACAAATGTGGTACATAATTCTGAATTACCCGGTATGATTATGCTGTCAGTTATTGGTATGAAGCATCAACCTTTCAATGAAGGCTGACTGCAATAGATCTCCAACACGCCCTTTCATTTGCCCTGGATGTATACTCTCTCAGACTGCTGTTTGTCCATCTCTTGATGTTATCTCCCATGTGTATCGTGGTCTGCTCCTTTGCTCGCCTACCCTCAACTTTTCTCTCCAGTAAGGTTTTTAAAAGAATGCTTTTTGAGTACTTTATTTTTAATTCCCTAAACAATCAAACCCCCCCCCCCCCACCCCACCCCAAGGAAATTATAGAGTTTTTGGGAAAGTCCAATACTCTAAGGATGAAATGGGTGAGGGTTAGGGTTAGGATCTTTGTCAGCTCCGACCGCCTCAGAGACCCCGACTAACCCTAACCACCAACCCATAACACCCCTAGAATATTGGACTTTCAGAGAACTTTGGGATTTCCTTTAGATTGAATTAAAAAAATAAAGTACTGCTTTTTTGTCTTTTAATTTGACCAGACAATATTTCTCTTGTCCCTTTTTCATCTCCTTCAGCTTCATTCTTATCACTCTTAGTCTCTTGAGAAGCTCTGTACCTGAGTGTTACTGTTCCCATGAAATATGAAGGCAAACCCTAAGTGCAGCCAGTGTAAACAAAATGGTATCAGGAAATGCTGCTAAAAATAACAACAGCTGGCATGGTACTGACCACACAACCCATCAATCAAGTGCTCACTGGTCTATAATTGTAAGCAGCCAGCACCATATGCCCAGTTTGCCACAACATGTGGAAATGATACATTTACTTCACTTACTTTATAATGTTTTCCCATTCTAAATTTAAATAATGCAGGCATTGTCTAATTTACTGCCAGGCATATTTTAGTGCATCTTAATAGTTTTGTCAATAGCAAATGCTGTAACAATACAACTGAACACTCCAGCTTTGTGTACACAAAAAGAGCATGTGACAAATCTGAAACCATCATGGTAATCACATGGATAATCATGAATTTCCTGAGAAATGTAGTGTAAACAGACATTGTGATTTGAGTATTTAAGTGAACAAGATTCATTTTTGTGCATCATCATATATTGGAGTAAATTTGTTATGATGAAGCAAAATATACCAAGCAATCAGCTGCACAATGTACTGTTTGTGTCCATATTATTTAATTTTAATACAAATTTTAGAAATTACCAGTGGCTGCGGTCTGCTAATCTCCATCCGTCTGCTAGCCTGCATGGCTGTAGCCAGCATCTGTTGTTCCAGCTTGTCCATCCTCTCTCGCTGCTGAATCTCTAGGGTGGCTCCCATTGGGAGCGATGAAACCTGGGAGTCGGTAGAGTCCAAAAACCTGCCCAGTAAGTGGTCAAATGTGTTGGCAACAACTCGTGGGACTTGGATTAGGTTCTGCACCATCAAGAAATTCAAACGCCAAAGAAGTCCTGCAAGCTATCAGAAACAAAATAATATTAGTAATAATACAGTCTAAACACTGTTGTTGTTGTTCAACCAGAACAAGTGATGACGACCCTGTTTAATTCAGCCGCAGGCAATTTCGCAGCAGACTGTTTTGTGTTGATTTCAACATTGGTATGGAGTGCTAACCCTTCAGAAGGCAATGGCAAACCAGTGAAAATAGAATTACCTAGTAAAACCATAAACAGCCTAAAAATGCTAGGGCTGGTTCAGCAACATTCTGTAAAGGATTCACAAAAAAAGGATCCACAATTAAATGATACACAACTAACAGATACACAACAAACTTTTTTTTTAGGTAACTGATAAGGTCAATCTGGGCATGAATTGTTCTAAGGCAATTTGAGCAAGGAAAGCAGGCTGCATTAGTTATGGATACAGTTCAGTCTTTGCTGGTTTGTTTTTGCTGAACTGCTGCCGATGTTGTTTTGGTCATCTCAAATGCCACCGCTCCATGAAGAAAAGATGAGTGCCAGGATGAATGGTCTTTTGCAGTGACTTCCAAGGTATCAGGTAACAACTAGGGACTAACACTGTCACTAACTTATTTAGAATATTAGCAGTCCCATAGCAGTTTTCGAACAGCTCAATATTATTAAATTTATTACCAATTCATTAAAGATGGATATTTTCTTATTTATGCATACCAAGTATTCTGTGGTTTAGGGGTGTTTTGATGAAATTAATTCCAACAAACAGCCACGGCGGTGGTCGTGTCCTAATATCGATAATGTAACCATAGGAGCCACGCTCCCATTATAAACATGGCAGTCCACGAGTAAGACCACAGTCTACCCTAGCAAAATAAAGTGCTGAAGTCGGAGGCAACCAGCCAGGAGGCGCACCACAGCAATCAGGATGCCACGCACAAACACAACAGGGAATAAGTATGATTCTCACCAAGTGACCCACTCACGTACACGTACACGTGGTATGTCTTACCGGCCTACGCCTAGTAGAAAGGGCCCAGCTTCAAATACGTGAAGCCACCCCCAAATGCCCCATAGCTGGCCAAAAGAGACACTTGTGGAAGTCAAACTTTACGGGCCGCTTAGGGAATTACAAAAGACAGTGAAGTTCATACTAGAGACAGCATTGCAGATATATATAATTTATTTCATGCGAACGAAAGAAGAAGAAGATTATTTTTTGTGTGGTTATGGTCCCTGGTTCACAAACAAATCACTGTAATATGTTAAAAGGCAGTCATAATTATTATTACGTCATATTTTAGTTCTTTTTTTGACCCCCAGGTAAACCTAGCCTAAACTGGGTACCAGGCAATTTCCTGATAAGTAAAAGTGGCTGCTATGATGTCAACCATGTCTTTCAATAAGTGCCAATTGGTCTATACAAACCTGAGTCTAGCGGCATATGTGCAATCCACCACTGGTGTAAAAAGAGTCCTTAACTTCAACTGATTCTTTTCTTCTTTGTGTTCATCGGCTGTAAACTCTGATGGAAATTTCTGGTTGTTCAGCCACTTCTGGACTTCAGTCTTATTCCAGAACCTGAGTTTTGCATACACATCCATTTTACAGATCTGGCTTATTAGTATGCTTGCTTTCGATTCCTCGCTTCTCAGGCAGATGCACTCCGACTTTTAAAGAAACATCCATAATTAGGCAAATTTTACGAGATGCTTATTGGGGGAGGGGAGGAGGGGTCAGTGGGTCTTTTATATTTGTTCCCACAATGGGGCCACAAAACCCACATAGGAATACTTTATTTGACATAATGCCGATTTGATTTTATTCTCTTCTAAAACTGATTTAACAGAACTAAATGCTCAAATAACAGAACAAAATACTAAAGATATGGTCTCACCACTGCACAGCCGACAACCAAGATGTTCTCCACATCAGAGCTGGCAATCTGAAGACCAAGAATATAGTTGAGCGTCTTCCCTGTTACAGGGACCCCCATAATCTTTGTTAAGGCCACACGAGGAATGGTGCTGTAGAAAGGCACGTACAGAGGGAAAATGACGCTGAACCTACAATTTACAAAAGGAATGAAACAGAAAGTGAAACTGTAATTTTATACCTGAAAAATGTACACACAAATTATAAAGGCACTAATATGGCAGAATATCAAGCGACACTGAAAAACAATTTTAATAAAAGAGGCATGTGCAGAAAAAATATCCAGTTTAACCTGAAAAACACAGAAATCAAATACAAAGGCATCAATAGGAGATAATATGAAACAGGAATCAAAAGAAATGAAACAAAAATGCACTTACAGAAAAACTTAACTATGACTAATCATAACAACTTAGCTAAGTTTAATCAAAAAAAAAAACAATATATTCAGACATTATCATGGCTGAAGAATAATTTACAACAAAACAAACCAAAATTTAAAAGAATATGTAGGAAATCAATGACACAAAATTTTTTTTAAAAACCTAACATAAAATATAAATGCTCAAACAGTACAGATTATCCATCTATAATCATAAGAAATGTAAAACAGTACAAGGGCAATAACTCCAATCAAAGAAAATTTGCACATCTTCAAGTATGTCACAAACCACCCCAGTCTGCAAATGATCTCAGTGGATGCTGCTCATACTGTTGCAGAAATCAACCTGGCTGGGGTCTGATGCCAAACCACATGCAGCTGAATAGAATTCAGTATGCTGGAATAATTAAACTATGTTCACAACCCCTAAGCAACAGAAGCCGTCTATCTCAGTAATAAAGTCCAGGTCTTTTATCAGTTACACTGAGAATCACTAATTCCTAGTAGTAATCTCCCTTCACCATAATAATTTCATATTCTTTCTTACAATGTACTCAAGGTTGGATACACTGACCCACTGTTATCTTTGGGAATATTACCTGGTAAAGCCCTGGTCTCTTCCACTAGAATCGTACTACTGTCTGAAAACCACCAGAATGCTTATTTTCCCCTTTAAATAAACCATCCACCGCAGAAACCGAACCATAGTACTGAAGGATTATGAAAATTGTTACTACTTTTGTTACTAATAAACTACTCATAGCCCACTGGTTTTTCCCTCAGTCTATAGATTAACTACTCACAGGCCTGTGAATCCTGGACAATCGGTAGGCAGGCCAAACAATTTTTAGAGGCCTCAGAGATGAGGTTTTACAGAAGAATGCTTAGAATACCTTGGACAGCCAAAAAAAGAGCAACCAAGAGGTTTTGAAAGAGGCGGGAGCCCGAAGACAACTTATCACAGACATCAGAAGGAGACAGTCATCATTTTTCGGCCATGTTATGAGAAGAGGGAAAATAGAACATGTTGTGACCACTGGAAAGATCTGTGGAAGGAGGATAGAGGAAGACAACGAGAGAAGATGCTTGACAGTCTTGTTGCATGGCATGAAGGTGTATCGGCACACAAACTGATACATGCTGCAGGAGATCGCAGATTATGGAGAGGCATGATCGCCCACGCCAGTCGGCAAGGCACCTGATGATGATGATGATGACACACAGGCCACTGGACATCCCCTGAGTCTATATATTAACTACTCACAAGCCACTGGGCATCTCTCCCAGTCTGATATCACATCTGTTGAGGACTGCAAACACCAACAACTCTATCAGGCTTGCCAAGACTGTTGTAGAGATCAGATGTGACTGTAAATGACCCAAAAAAAAATAAAGATGACTGACATTACTGAGACCCAAAAGATTGAAGGTAACGGATTTCTGAGAAAACAACATTGAATGTTTGTGACCCCCCGTGTGGGTTCCGGGGCCCCATTATGGGGAAAACAAGAATAGACCCACTGCCTCCCCAAAAGCATGTCGTAAGAGTCGACTAATTGGGGAGCTTCCTTTGAAGTCGGAGTGCATCTGCCGGAGAGGCAAGGAACCAACAGTCTGTATTCAAGAGAATGAGATCTGTAAAACTGATGCACACGCAACACTCAGGTTCTGGAGCAGGACTGCAGTTCAGTAGTGGACGAGCAACCAAAACTTTCCGCCAGAGTGCGCAGCTGGTGAACGCGAAGAAGAAGAAGAATGTTTGTGACATTTCTGAGAATAAAAACTAACGGTTCATGGTTTGTGGCACTCACGAAGAAGAAACAAAAATTGCAGAAACTGAGGGTTTATCACTTTCCATGTAAAAAACTAAAGGTTTCTGACTTTCCAATGTCAAAAACTGAAAGTATATGAATGTAATAAACAAACAAAACTGAATATTTATGCTATTTCAATGACACATCAAGAAGAAGAAAAACTGAAAGTTTTTGTCACTGAAATGGAAAATGTAGGTTTATATTTCAGTGATGAACAATAAAGGTTTATGCAATTTAAATGATCAAATGCAGAAGTTTAGTAAGATGGCAAAATGAACAAACACACAGAGACTACGTGAGTATAATTTCTAAATTTATTTTATCAAGGTCAATTTAACTGTATCTGCTAAGTGATGTCACCCATAGCAATGGAAAATATTATAATGAAGGAATCAAAGACAACGAAATTGATGGTGTCATGAGATTGCTGATGAAGATGACTAATGTTGATGGTAAATGATGATGATGATGATGATGATGATGATGATGATGATGATGATGATGATGATGATGATGATGACTTCTTCTGCTTCTTTTTTTTCTTAGCGTCCACGGCTGTAAACTCTGCAGAATGTTCTAGTTGTTCGTCCACTTCTGAACCTTGGCCTAGTTCGAAAACTTGAGTTTTGCATGCACATCTGTTTTACAGGTCTGGCTTACTTGTATGCAGATTGTTGGTTCCTCACCGCTCAAGCAAATGTGCTCTGACTTCAAACGCAAAATCCCTTATTAGCTGACTTTCACAATATGCTTGTTAAGGAGGCAGTGGGTCTATTCTTCCCCCCCCCCCCCCCCCCCCCCTGAAATTGGGCATCCGGAACCCAAACAGAGATAACAACAATATGATTTCAATAACACAACAATTACAAGTGTTAAAAAAGATGAGCTACTTACAATAAATTTTCTGGAACCAAATCTTCTTTCAAAAATTCTAAAGTTGTAGATGAGCAATGAAGAAAACAGAAGATCTGGTAAGCTGAGGATCACAAGCTTGGACAGACACATTCTCTTGAACTGTCAAACAGAGAAGAGCTTCCATTAGAAACCTCAACACAATATTTGCTGCTGCACACCAGTAACGGCTATCTTCTTCTTCATCTTCAGCATTCTGAGCCCTTGAGGTTCATTGCTGCAGATATTACCCGCCTCCATTCATTTCTCTGGTTGGTCTTCTCTTCCCAGTTGGTGACACCAAGTGTTTGCAGGTCTGTCTGGGCATTATCTCTCCATCATCTTCTTGGTCTGCCTCGTGGTCTATGACTATTCATCTATCTTGTGTATACAGTTTTCACTTCTCTGTCATCTGACATTGTCTCAATATGTCCCAACCATTACAGTACTGGCTATGGCAATTTGGAATCAGTTTTCTTGTGAAAATCTGACCAATTTTTCTGGTACTCTCTTCTTGTTCATGCTCATCGGCTTCAAACTCCGGGGGGAAAGTTCTGGTTGTTCGTCCACTTCTGGACTCTGATTTTATTCCAGAACTTGAGTTTTGCATGTATACCTGTTTTACAGATTTGGCTCATTTGTATGCAGACTGCTGGTTCCTCGACTATCAGGCAAATGCCTTCCAACTTTGCAGAAAACTGGTGCTATCTATTGTTTTTATTTTTCCTTAAATTTTTCTGCTCCAGATTTGCATTCCGGAGGATTAACATTTCAAAGACGAGAATGAAATAGTTACAAATCCCGGAAACCCCATTCAGCTGCATAGCCATATAGACCAATTATGTTGGGACACCACAAAATAGTTACAAAATAACCTTGGTCTAGAGTGGGGTGGGCTGTGATCTATTCACTCTAATTAGTGTGAATGCTGAACATTTACTAAATCTTTAAACTAAGGTTATATCCTGCTCTGTTTAAAATGAAACCACTCTCCTGGTTTTTTCAGCAGCACTACAAGAGTGGCACTGTGAAAGAAATTGGGACCTCAATACGTGATAATTACCATGTAGCCAACTTTCATCGAGGAGCTAGCACACATTTTTTGAAGGAGCCGCAGTGGTGTAGCAGCTAGATGGTCGAATGTAGATCTAAAGGTCATGGGTTCAGATACCAATAAAGCCAAACCTTTTTTTTTTAAATGACCTTGACTGCCAGGTCAACAAGCCCTGTTAAGAGGTAAAGGTGAACAGCATGATGTTAACCAAATCACCCACCAGGTGTTGATAGGTCTAGCCCTATATGTCCAATACGCCCGGAGGCATAGAAAAAAGGACCTTTAACTTTACTGTTACACATTTGTTATCTTATGTTATGTTATCACTATCAACTTTAGTGCACAGTGGTATGGAGGAACATCATCAGTGGAACTGATCCAGAACACCAAAGACCGAGATCTAATCTATGGAGATGCATAAATACCTATGCCAGCTGGCAAGGTACTTGATGATGATGATAATCTTTTCCTCACTTCAAGATTTGCTGAAATTTTTTTTTAACTCTCTGTTCACAATTTTAACAAAGAAAGTGAAAAACAAAGCAAGATGGGAAGAGATAACAATTTTATTTTCATTCTCACCTGTCGTTTCGCAAAGACATCTTGGTTATAATGAAACAAGTAGTGAAGGTGATGCAAGGGAAATCTGAACAGGAAGTACGTGACAAATGCATGACAAAGAAGAAACTTTGTCACCGGGGTTCCATCTGTGAAAATACATTTTTCATGTCTGTTAGTCATCTTGTAAATATTTACACTAAATATCACTTGTATAAATATGTTTACATGTGATTAGTTTTGACCGTCACAATGACACTTGGGTCAAGAGACAGACACATGGCTCAGGAAAGGTTAGACAATGGCAAACGGAGACTAAATGTGAAAGCCTTACAGTTCATATCCCAATGACATTTTGCACTATGGCAGTGATTCCCAAACTGTGCGCTGCGGCGCCCCGGGGAGCCGCGACCTCTTCACAGGGGCGCTGCAAAATTTTAGAAGATACCCAAGTTTTATTCTTTTTGATCTCTTACATATGAATAGTCATACTCTTACTTAGGTTAAGTCGCCGTGGGACATTTAAAAAAAAAAGCGCTGCAACTAAGACAAGTTTGGGAAACGCTGCACTATGAGATCCAAAAAAACTGGCATTACTGCTTGTATTTACCACTTTTGTAAACCTGAGGCTTTAGGGGCACATGGCTTAGTGCTGTTGCTACTGACTGTGCAGGTTAGGATTGTCTTTTTGACCCAGAGAGAAAAACATTCCCAATGTTACCGAGGATTTGACCATGGGTGTCCTGCCTGATGATCCTGCATTCTTAACCGCTTGGCCTGCTGCTCCTCTTTGGGACTTTGGGACTACCTTTTCCATTGTTAAAAGTAACAATAAATAACAGAAATTTGAATTTAAAAAAAAAAAAAAAAATTGCTTCCATTGCCTCTACTGTGACATTTTGCCCTTAATCTGATCCTTGGTGTTTCTTCATGTCCCAGGATGTGACCATTGTAACAAGCCCATTCAATACGCTATCACTCTGAGAGGTAATATTTGTAAAGGGCCCTTTTTAACTGGGCACAGGATGCTAGTCTCATATTTCCATCAGCATTCAGCTAATGGTTTGGCCAACATAATGTCAGCTGTCTTTACTTCCCAGAACATCACCTGGTATTCATTTTAGACTTAGTCGGCCTGACGACCAAGGTCAAATTTGAAGAGAATACTTAATGCAGATTAAAACCTGAGATCTTTGGCTCGGTCGATGTCCAGCCATGCCACCGTGGCTCCCAAGTATTAGTTGCTCTGTTGCGTAACCTGGAACTTGTTTATTTGTCCGTTTTTCAATCCCCCTGGTTCTTGTCCTTTTCTCATCAACTTCCTATTTCAAATGCCTCTAAACATTATTTACGTCACATTTATTCACTTTCCAAATTGTCTTCATGGAAAATATGAGCTTAACGTTTTTGTCCCTATACGCCTCGTGTTATGTAAGTGGATTTATTTTGGTTACATGTTAGTTATATTGTTATCAGGTTTCCTCTATGTGTCACCTATTCAACACCAACCTCTTCTTCCCACCTCCTGATTCACTGCAATTTTTTTTTAGTTCTTTCCCAAAACTGTACAGGATAATTAATAACAGAAAGAAGCAGCTAAAGTAGCCAACAATGAATATCACAATAAAGACAGGGGAAAATAGAACAGCTTACAAGTTTTTCTACTGTTTATATGTTCTTCTTCTTCTTCTTTGCGTTCACCAGCTGTACACTCTGGCGGAAAGTTCTGGTTGCTCGTCCATTACTGAACTGCAGTCGTGCTCCAGAACCTGAGTGTTGCGTGTGCATCAGTTTTACAGATCTCATTCTCTTGAATAAAGACTGTTGGTTCCTTGCCTCTCCGGCAGATGCACTCCGACTTCAAAGGAAGCTCCCCAATTAGTCGACTCTTACGACATGCTTTTGGGGAGGCAGTGGGTCTATTCTTGTTTTCCCCACAATGGGGCCCTGGAACCCACACAGGGGGGCTTTATATGTTCTGTTCAATCTCTGCTCAGGGACTTCTTCTTCTTTGTGTTCACCAGCTGTAAACTCTGGTGAAGAGTTCTGGTTGTTCATCCACTTCTGGACCGCAGTCCTATTCCAGAACCTGAGTGTTAGGTGTGCATCCATTTGACAAGTCTGACATATTTGTGTGCAGACTGTTGGTTCTTTGCCTCTCAAGCAGATGCACACTGACTTCGAAGGAAGCTCCCAATTGGTCGACTCTTACGACATACTTTTGGGTAGCAGTTGGTCCATTCTTATTTTCCCTATAATAGAGCCCCGAAACCCACACGGGGGAGGGGGGGGGGGGATCAAAAACAACCTCTGACTTCAAACAGCATTTGTCAGCTCACATGTTGACACGCCTCCATGCCATGACAAAAAAACTTGTCAAGAATCTTCTCGCATTATCTTCCTCTATGTCTCTTTCCAGTGGTCACAAGATTGTCCAGTTTCCCGTCTTCTCATAACATGGCCAAATAATTATGACTGTCTCCTTCTGATATTTGTGATAAGTTGTCTCTGGACCCTTTCAAAACATAACAGTTATTCATTTTGGCCAGCCAAAGAAATTTAAGCCTTCTTCTGAAACCAAATCTCTTAAGGCCTCAAGAAAATGTTTGGCTTTTTAAATTAACTGTCCACAATTCTCAGTCACATGTTAAAACTGGCTCCTTATACAAATAAAAGGATGTAAACTCATAAAACAGCAAACAAATATTAGGCATACACAGGTACTTACAAAATCCTGCATGTCCTTTTAAGGCAAACATACTGTCCTAGGCTGTAGCAGACGTGACCTGACTAGGATGTTATCATACAGATATGAAGTGAAACAACAGGCAGAGGCAAATTTCAATGATCAGAATTGTTGATGGTGCCAGTTCTTGGGTCAAAACTATAAATTTCAGGGTCTGTATCACAGATCCATTCTGTCCTTGTTAAAGAAAGAAATGCAACCTTTGTTTACTGTGACGTTCGATGCAAGGCTTTTGATGTTTACTGTAAAAACATGTAAGTTGCAGAGAGCATATCAAAAACAGGATAAGAAAGACAAAAAAAATTTTAAACACGTGAAAAGTATTACAACCAGAGAGAGATTTACAAAATGTTGAATTAAGAATAAACATCATAGCACTCGGGACACTCCCATATGTGCTCCATCCCCATCTTCAGCAGCAAGCAATGAGTTCCAATTCTGATGGTACCAGTAACTGATTGATTGTATATCCGTCTCGCCTTTCCCTTCAGTGTCGAGCCTTGAAAAGATCCCCTGGTACCTCCTCACAGCGCCATTCTCCTCAGACTGTAATGATCTATCTGTGCCTCCACATTGTTCAATCGCTCCTAATAGGCCTTTACAATGTCTAGCTTGTCATACATCAGTTCCCCAACAAGTGGTGTAGAAATAGCCAGTCTATCTGCCTGCTTATTTCCCAACACACCCGTATACCTGGAGAAAAATCTAAAGGATGCTAACTACCCGGGACCTCTAAAGTGATGCTTGCCTGTCTCCACCTTTCTTAATAAGCTTTGTGAGTCAGTTTCAATAATGACATGTGTGTACAGCTGATTCTCAAGCCAGTGGAAGGCAGCCAGAGAGAAATAACGGAAATAATAATGAGAACTGCCAAATGATAGGTATAATAAACCCTTCTGCACCGCATAGGAATCTGGACATTGAACAAGGAATCAGAAAGTCAAAATGAGGCTCTGGAGATGAGAATATCAGAAATTATATATTTATTCATCCTTTATTCACTGTCCTGTTGTGCCTTTATATGTGACACAGGGCTATAGTCTATTTCTCCATTCCCTTACAAGGCTTGCAATCTATTTCTCCATTCCCTTGCAGGACTCACATTCTATTTCTCCATTCCCTTAGAGGGCTTGCAGTCTATTTATCCATTCCTTTAGAGGGCTTGTAGTCTATTTCTCCATTCCCTTAGAGGGCTTGCAGTCTATTTCTCCATTCCATTCTATCCTGTGTAATCAATTTACCAGAACAACATCTTTTACTGCAAGTTTCTGTAGTAAATAATTTTTTACAACGTGGAGGATCCGGCCAAACCCTCCTCCTTTCTCATCTAGGCATATATTTATACATACACACACACACCTAGGGCAATTTTATTTTTGCACCCATAAAGTGTGGAAAACAGAGGGGCTGATAATCAGCACAAAGAATCTATTACAGCAGCACTGACAAAAAAATTAGGCTTTCTTTTGAATAACGGTCCCAAATGAACTACGCAGAAAGTAAACCCAAACAGAGCCTCATTACGTCCTGCCCTACAAACATTTGAAAGCTGTAATGGCATCGCGCCATTTTCTGAATCTACAATTCACACCACGTTGGTCACAGTCAAAAAAAACATTCCAAATGCAATCCGCAGCTCACAGGGTCACGCCATGCATTCAACTCAGAAGCTGGGCGACGAAACTATATCCAGTCTACAAATGGAGCAAAAATGCATCGGCCACCGTCCGGCAAAAGCAAAAAATTTGCCTCTGCTCCGAACAGCGCCGCTGTCTAGCGTCCATTTTAACCGGAAAAGATATGAGTGAGGCTCTGTTTGGGTTTACTTTCTGCGTAGTTCATTTGGGACCGTTATTCAAAAGAGAGCCAAAAATTATGTTGATAAAGATGCTGGTGCTGTGTATCGCCAGAAAGACATCTTGTATGTGTGTGCGTATTTATATTATTTAAAAACAAAAGTAACAGAAACAGAACAAACAATTATTTTAACATGATACACTAGAAAAGATGTTGACATTAGCAAAAGGACATCCTGAACATGATAAGGTATGAACATTAGTAAAAAAAACACACAAGACAAGAGAGATGTTCAACGCTCAACGCATCTACACTGCTATGGTGGGAGGTTTAGTTAGCTAAAAGACAGATCTTAAATATTAGTACTACTATTAGTAGCAAGAGCATATGCTGAACAAATGATATCTGAAACATTGGCAGGTATATGAACTAGATACATGAATTAGTAGCAAATGCAGACTGGGTGGACGTGGGGGCCTGGAAGCCGAGGTCAGTGAAAACTGATCGCCGGCAATAGGACACGTGACCAGATGACCACCGGCCGGACCAGCAACCAAGTGTCCACTGCGCTGTAGCAAGTCCCTATTGTCTCAATGTTTCCCTGTAGTGGTTACTAATGCGTTCAAAAGTTAATCAACAGTAGTAAAGTTTAAAAACTAAAACATCTTCATTCATAGTAATTAGTATGAATTCATACAGAATATATATAATTAATATAATATTATTATATAATATTAATAATAATATTGATGGAAATGTTTAGAATTTCGAAACAAAATTATTCTCAAAATAAAAGTTACATTTAGTTGTGTATTTATTAAGTACTCCTTGACAGTTTGCATGTAGTTTGATGAAACAAAGTGTTATAGTTATTCAGGAATATAACGAATAACGGCTACATCGGAATATAGTCCGAAGCTGGTATTATTTTCAGACAGGAACCGGACACTTCCCTTCTGTCTGCTGTCGGTGTGTGTCAACCAGCGGCGGCGCCACCTTTTGGGTGATGGGGACACAGGGATGAAAGTTTACGTGGAGTTACAGTAGAACCTCGCTTAACGAGCACCTCGCTTAACGAGCACCTCGCATAACGAGTAATTCGCATAACGAGCGAAACAAATTGTAAAAAATGACTTGCTTAACGAGCGACATTTCGCATAACGAGTGCCGAGGAGAGGGAAAGTCCCCAATTCTGCGCATGTTACATCAGTGTTTAGCACTTGTTCCAGTAGTGTCGCTTGTGATCACACATTTTCTCAAACATGTGTTATATTGTGATATATGTACATGAATCCTCCAGGCCTACAAGATGATCTGTCAGAAGAATTTAAGTTCATCAAGATCCAGTTTCTTCCTCCCAACACCACACAGTAAATCCAGCAAGTTATTTCTAACTTTGAGAAGCTCTACACTAAAGCACTCTTCGAGCATTGTTTTCAGGTGACTGAAGGAACCAACCTCACTCTCAAAGAGTTTTGGAAAAATCATTTCCACATCATTGCCTGCCTCAAGAGGATCGACAAGGCGGGGGAAGGGGTTACCGAGAGAACCCTAACTTCTGCTTGGAAGAAGCTTTTGCCGGAGAGCTTTGTCGATTTGTGACTTTGAGGGGTTCGAGTCAGTACCTAAGGAACCTGTAGTCAACGAGATTGTGTCTTTGGCCACTATCATGGGATTGCAGGTGGATAACAGGGATATCGAAGAGCTTGTGGAAGAGCACAGCCAAGAGCTGACACCCAAGAGCTTATGGAGTTGCATTGTGTTTCACAGCAAGAAGTTTTGGAGAAAAGTTTGTCAGAGGAGGAGGAGGAGGTAACAGAAAAGCAACAATCTTCTGGCGAAAAAAAAAAGGGAAATGCTGAAAGCATGGCAAACTGTTGCATCTTACATTAAGAAGCCTTACCCTAATAAGGAAGGGGCTATGCGCGCTGCAAATTTATTTAATGATAATGCTGTGTCGCATTTTCGCAAAATTTTGAATCGTCGGCAAAAATAAATGTCTTTGGACACCTTTCTAGTGAAAAGAAAAAATATTATCTCATGTATCATAATTATTTCGACTTTTTTTCTGCAAATCAAATTCACCTTCCAGGTGGGTTTGTTCCGCGTTTGAAGAAAAGATAAAGATGATTCACTCTCTTTAACAATATGCATATAATTTTATTTGAATAAACGTTATACATAGCATTTTGTGAGTATTTTTCTTCGACACGGAACGCATTATCGTATTTTACATTAATTTATATGAGAAAAATTGTTTTGCATAATAGGTGTTTCGCTTAACGAGTATGATTCTGAAACGAATTATGCTCGTTAAGCGAGGATCCACTGTACTTGCAACTGTACAATTAATAATAGTATCTTACAATTTGGTCATATAGAACAACAAGTGTGAATGTCTTGTTCATTTGTTTTCAAGTGAGGGAGTTCCCAAAATAAATAATCTATTTACATCACCGTTGATCACTAGCATAATGAGAGCTAATAGACTTCAATGGTTGGGACATATTGAAAGAATGTCAGATGACAGAGAAGTAAAAACTGTATACACCAGAGAGATGAATGGTCGTAGACCACAAGGCAGACCAAGAAAACGATAGGGATGTAATTTCCAGACAGGCCTGCAAACACTTGGTGTCACCAACTGGAAAGAGAGGGCCAACCAGAAAGATGAATGGAGGTGGGGTGATATCTGCAGCAGTGAACCTTAAAGACTCGGAATGCTGCAGAAGAAGAAGTGATGACTTAATATGCAGCAATGACCCGACTGCAAAACAACATCCTAAATGACCATGGTCAGACAGGAACATTATGCAGGAAGCCAAAGAAGGATGAGAAACCAACATAGAACTGGCGTCGTCAGTGGGATTTGCTGAGGTAGGGATCCGAGTACGTATAGACTGAATGGTTCGATATCCAATGAGGGTAATCCGTTGAGTAACACGTTAAAACACCATCTCATCCACATGAGTGTGCCGACACTGGTAAATAATTGCGTCAATCACACTCATAGCTATTAAAATTATGAAAAGAAAAGTATTTGACACAAAACTGACACGCATCTCACAAATGAAATTAACAATTCTTCAAATAATTTAAGTAACTTCATAAATATTCATTAAAACTGTATAGTGACATAATGAATTTCATTTTCACAATACAAGGGACCTTGTTTAGATTCTCATGATGCGTCACTTCCTTCTGGTTATACCTGGCAGACGACGGACCAGACATCGGGTTTCACTTACAGTTTGTCACTGTCCTTTATTCAGATTTTAGATGTAATCTTAGTTTAAAATGACATAAAGATCTGTGTGAATTATCCTACTGCAACATTATAAGAACTATATACTTCTAAACCACGATGCTGCACACACGTATTCAAGCATTGATAAATTAATTATTAGTCTTCTGGGCTCTCCTTTAAATACCGATCGTTAGCTGGAAAGCCGACGGTCGCTTAACTTAGTGGGAGTTCACTCCCTTAGTTGCAGTGCAAATACGGACCGTACAGTGGGAACGAAACAAATGACATACTTACCTATCATCATACGGTTGCGTAGTCATCATACGGTTGCGTAGGGTTAAGGATAGCGTTAGGGGTAGGGTTATGGTTAGATGTGAAAATTTTGACGTAGGAGTTCCAAATAATGGCCGACAATGTGATTAGCTACTTCAGTGAAATTTTTAAAATGCCCTCTACACCAATAAAACCAGTACAGTTAGATAGCTGTAAACAATCTCTTTCCAGTGGTACCTCATTTAGGCTTGTATGTCATTTCTGAGCTGAGATATGTAGGTTTTTGTGGAGATGAGATGTAAGAAACAGCCGCTAAAACTTGTGACCCAGAAACAAGAAGTTTTTCACTGCGCAACCTACTGCGCAGTTCTGTATCGGCTTTGTTGACATTGGACTGTCATTGGACAAGATAGCAGGCAATGAGACTCAGCTCACTCAGCCGCATGCGATTGCCTAAAAAATGTCACTGTACATCTACCTAGCCACGTACCAGAAAAAAATTTTATGCACAAATGTAAAATTGGACAGAGAATTCAATTATAACTAGCATTACCAGGTACAGTAACAGTTAAAGCCCAAAGCCAACCTTGAATTTACCGCTATTTTCAATCAAACTGATGACTAACAGAAAAACAGAGAACGTCCGGCTTTCGTAGACATGCGCTGTTAATCGAGTTCCTTCCCGCCGTTTTCAGCTATTTAGAGTGGGTGAAAACCACACCAATCGCAAAATTTCATGAGAGATAAGGACCCATCCCGAAACCCCAGACATTTCCGAAACAAGTTTTAAACGGTTTCTATGGTAACGGAAATTGTCGAAAAGATCGCAAATTTCCGAAACTGTAGTGCCTAATGTGATGCTTGTGGGAGTGGCGCCACTGGAATTCTCCTAAATATGACGGCAATAGCCCGCGGCTGGTGCCCAATTGATGGCGAATCGTCCGTTTGAGTAGCATCCACAGTCCTTCAATTGTTTGGCTGTGTATGTCACTGTGCGCGATTATTTGGACCTTCTGCGTCAACATTGTCACATCTAACCCTAACCCGAACCCTACCGCTAACCCTAAACCTTACCCTAATCCCAAACCCTACCCCTAACCACGCAAACAAATCGCTCATTACGACATACAGATCGGCAGGTCTCATATCTACGGTCACTAAGTCGTGCGTCGGAAGACCGCGGTCGCTACTGTGAGTCGCAGTGCGTGGTTTAGCTCTAGCAGGCATGTCAACCAGGGCAAATACATAGACAAAGAACAGGAGACAAAATAAGACACCCATATTGCTAATATTGTACACAATGTATAGTTACGACAAGAAACATGTACCACTTTTATATAAGGATATATGTAAGAAAAAAGGAAACCCAGATTTCCCCGAGCCGTCAAATAAAAACCCAGATCTGAGGGAAAAACCCAAGCAGTGGCAGCCCTGATGTCGACCTCACTTTCTGTTTTGATTCGTGACTTTTCCGCTCCGTATTTGCACTGCAACCAAGGGAGTGAACTCCCACTAAGCGACCGTCGGCTTTCCAGCTAACAATCGGTATTTAAAGGAGAGCCGTCTTCTGATCTTAGTGCAAATTAAAATTTAATTAAACATTAATTGTTAAATAATTAATAAAATAATATCGCTCATCAGCGCATTCTCTAGACCAAGTCAGTTAACTCACACTAACTTTGTGACTAAGTGCGTGATAATCGCTGTTGTTTATTTTCCTCTGAATTACTCCAAATCTTTATCTTTCGTGAATAATAAATGAGTTGATATTCAATGTATGTTCCATTTTTCACCTTCTAATAAACTCTGTGTTATATTGCCAGTTAGTTAGTTAGTTGGGTTATCCTCATTGCACTCCCGACATGTCCATAGGTGCTCAGATCCTCCCCTCAGTATGAACCCCAACGTCTGATGGCTAATAGTACCAGTTCTATGTTGATTAACAAGTCTTCTGGCGTGTCTGGTGTGCGTCTCGTTTTTTGCTGTGCCGATCTTAATTCCCAAGTCTGCCATTCTGGCGAGTGATGTGGATTCACTGCCACCAAAGTCCTCTATCCTTCCCATTTCTCTGAGGGCATTGATAATATCAGCATGATCCATAGGCTGACCGTCTGTAGTGATAGCGGATCCAGCCAACCTGTCAGCACTTTCATTTCCATCGATTGCCAGTGTTCACTGCTACTGGTCTTGTCAACAACCTCTTCAGATATAGTTATTATTCATAACTGATTGTTATTTCGAATTGGTACACAAAGGACTGATCAGGGAGCATGCTATTTGTTGCTTTGCAATATTATATTGCCTATATAACTCAGGTACACATGAAACTTTTGATGTACAAATAATGTTCAAATGTTAACTCTTTGAGTCCCAATGAACAAATTATATGTTCATAGGTTCCCACCTAGAGGCCCAATAAATGCAAGATGCGCAGATTTTACATCTCTTTTGACTTCCCCTTGGGCCTCTGATGCTAAACCCCCATGGACTCGAGTTAATTGCAGATGATGGAAAATAATTTTTTTTTTTACAAACTTTTTGTGTGTGAGTTTTTTGGGGGTCCTGAGAAAAATTATACTAACTACAGGAGCTACTATGATTGGTAGGATGATAGTCCCAGGATGATTTCTAACCACACTGGAAAGCAGTATGTATTGTAACATAAGGTATACCATACTTCAACTGTTTTTATGCACTGGGCTCACTAGCTCAGTTGGTTACGCCTAGGGGGTAGGTAGAAAAGCCACATTTCTCCCAGATTTACGGTATCTGTTATGGAATCAAGGCCGAAGGGTTGTGATATCCATAGTACTGAGCTGAATTGCTACTGTACTTATAAAAGAAAGTGGTCATGCATTACATTTAAAGATATATAAAAATTAATAAAACTAGTTTGGAAGACGGAGAAATTACCCCATGAGTATTAATACCCAATTTTAAGAAAGGAGACAGGTATAAGTGTGAAAATTATAGAGGAATATCATTATTATCTACAAGCTACAAGATACTATCGGTGGTACTGCTAACCAGGCTAAAAACATACGTCAAAGACATTGGGAGATTACTAAGCGGGATTCTGACAGAACAGATCAACAATAGATCAGATATTTATTTTATGGCAGATAGCAGAGCAAAACTGGGAATCTAGAAGATATGTACATAATGCTTTTGTGGATTTTAAAAAGGTGTATGATAGTGTACGTAGAAACAGTTTATGGAATGCCATGAAATACTTGGGAATACCAAAGAAGTTAATTACCATGACCAAGCTAGGTATGGAAGATATTTATAATATAGTAACATATAAAAGCAGAAAGTCGGACCCTTTCCAAATAACATCTGGTTTAAAGCAAGGTGATGCTCTGTCCCCACTTCTTTTCAACTTGGCCCTAGTGAAAATTATAAGGAATTTGAAACAAGAGTGTACTATGGGAATAAAATTAAATTGTTTTTGTTAATTAATTATAAATATATTACACCTTCCTTAATGATAACCTGAGACTAACTGTTGGATGCTTTTTTTTCTCTATAACAGATAAAATAGATGAAAATCTCAAAGCTGTTTCTACAATGAGCAAATCAGGTGGTAGTAAGGACCAGTGGCAGTTGTCCCTGAAAGATGGCCTTACTATCGAAGACGAGGCTGATGTCTTTGAAATTACTGACTTCACTACGGCCTCAGAGTGGGAACGGTTCATTGCCCGGCTGGAGGAGATTCTTCATGAGTGGAAGCTGGTAAACTGTGAGCCCCGTCCAGCGGCACTGAAGGACCAGTACGCTACAGGAACATGGGCAGAAAAATCAGAAGAGGTGCTTTTTGCAGATTTTCGATTCACTTTCTCGTATGTTTACTTACAGACAAATGAGGACATATCTGCTACAAATGTGTCCAGAAAAGAAGACTTAGAAGAAGTAGATGAGGAACACAAGACGCCAACGGTATTCCTCGATTTGATGAATTTTGATAATGATTTTCCTTCAAGAGCCCACTACTTGTGCAGGTGGTATGGTCTTCAGGAGTTTTTTACTCTGACACCTGTCAGCGAGAAACAGCTAATTGAGGGCGAAAGCAAAGCACGATTGTTGCTGAGTTCAGCGTCAATTGCGTTTGGGAATTCTAACTGCGGCATTCCAGTGTTTATTCAGGTCCTATCCAAATGGCGGAAACTGTTTACTGGGACTGGCTTAGTTCCTGGTGCAACAACAGAGTTTGAAATGTCACACTTGCGACGCTTTCCAGCTCAATACTGCCACCTGGCAGGTCTTCTCGATGTGTTTAAATCTAAGCTAGGGTGTGTGTATATTTCCATGCCTCCTGTGTCCGTGTCCGTGAGGTTTACCTATATCTTGCAGGACTGGATACACAGTGCCTGGCCACAGGTGCCTCCAGATTTTTCATCTTTCTGCGACGGAGAAGTAGGATATGGGGAGATTGACTTTCTTCCATTTGGGGCATGTACGGACACTATAAGTGAACTGCACCTCTTCTGTACCTGGCCTTGTTTATCAGAAGATATGATTGTTGAAAACAGCCTATATTCAGATCTCGACCCTCTCCAGGCTCCACAGTGGATGGTGAGGCTTCAAATGGCTGATGATCCTCAGTGTTTGCTGGGCGAGTTTCTACGAGATTTTCTGAAGCTCTGTGATCGACATGAAAGTACAGATGAAGTTTTAAGAAAAGTGGCCCTTGATAATGATCCTGACAAAGAAAAACACGGGACAGAAATCTCGCATGCCTTGCAGAGACTCACTGAACCAGTGCCGGCGTTGTCTTCCATTCCCTCTATCAGTAATGTCATGTCCTCAGCTTCGGCCAGAATTAAATTCAAGCCCGAAGATGCCCCAATTCCTGAGTCAGTGCTTGATAAGCTACTATTCTACCTCTTCCCTGATGCTAAAATTCCCAGGAGTCCAGGAAAGCAAAGTCTGTCTGCCAACAAGCGCCAAGAATCGAATGCTTCTAATGCATCTCTCTCATCATCTACTTTAGAAAATGTTGATGAGACTTCTGAAGACAAAGACAAGCAGGATGTGGAAAGAATATCTGAAATTGTAGGGGAGCTAAGTAAGCAGTTGAAATCTGCACCAGTTGACAGCCTTACTTACAGGCTGAGTCTGGCACTGTGTAATGTGAATCATAACCTGGGTGGTCTTCTTGGAGTAGCCCATCTCTGGCAGGAGTTCATTCTTGAAATGCGATTTCGTTGGGAGAATAAACATCTTATTTGTGGCATTGAGAAAGGAGCACCAAACATGGGGTCCTGCCTTCTGCATCAGAAACTCCAGATGTTGAATTGCTGTATTGAATGCAGGATAAAAAGAGAGTCAGCTGGATATGGATATGGCCAAGATTCAGTCAATATCCATGATGAGTCCCTGGATTCATCGTTTGAAGGAACAGAGAACTCAGACGGTTTGGATCCTGCTTCAGCGGGTAGATCAGAAAAAACATTAAGTTGTGCGAGTTCAAGTGATGAGGAAGAATTCTTTGAATGTTCAGATTTGAAAGATGAAAATGCATCTAACCATGCAGAACCAAGCAGTGATAAGACTAGGAGGCCTGTAAGGAGTCAAGGAAAAGGTAGGAACTCAGATGCAGCTTCAGGAGACCCCAAAATTCCTGACAGTTCTGAAGCAAAGGCAGACAAAGGTGTGAGGAAGAAAGACATTAAAAAGAACAGTAATGATAAATTCAAAGATTCCCTTACACATCGTCCTGAAGGAAGGATGGTTCCTTTGAAGAACGTCCACTTGTTAGTAACAGGAGAGCAGCTTTTCATCCCTATCACTCAAGAACCCTCACCCATGACAGAGGATATGCTGGAAGAGCATGCTGAAGTTTTAGCCAAGCTCGGCACATCTGCTGAAGGTTCTCAGATCCGTGCCCGCATGCAGAGTGCTTGTCTGGTGTCAGATATGGAGTCCTTCAAAGCTGCCAATCCTGGATGCATCCTGGAGGATTTTGTGAGGTGGTACTCTCCAAGAGATTATGTGATAGATAGCGAGGATGAAGATAGTGAAACTGAAAGCTCAAGCAGGACAGTTTCACGAAAGAAGAATTTGTCAGCTAGTCCTTCAAAACGTGGGCATCTGAGTCAGAGAATGCAGATTCCTGGCAATATGTGGGTAGAGGCTTGGCAAAGCGCCAAGCCTGTGCCAGCTCGCCGGCAGAAGAGGTTGTTTGATGACACCAAGGAAGCAGAGAAAGTCCTGCATTATTTAGCATCAATGAAACCTGCAGAGGTTGTGCTGCATCTGATGCCATGTGTCATCCACGCAGCAGTGGTAAAGTTGGTAGAAGAAACATTTAAAGCTCATGTTCCCAATTCAAAGTCCATGCTGGATCAGTTGATTTCCAGAGCGGCAAAGGTGACCAGAAACTTCCCACATGATAAAAAAAGGTATGCAGAAATTTTACGCTCGATTGAAATAGCTGAAACTGTGGCAGCCCGGACTACCTCCCTCCGGTCAAAGTTCACCAGTGACCATTTAACTTCTCCAGATCAGGAAGGTAAAGAAGAGGAGATTGAAAGTTTCCTGACCTCTCTTCTGACCCAGGGTGAGGTTCCAGTACGAGGTGGTGCTTGTGGTCCTGCAGGGGCCATCATACACAAGATGTTTATTGCAGCCCAGAGAGCCAACAACATGATTCTTGACGATGAAGCTACCACAGGGGATCCGGCAGACTTGAACACTAGCCTTAACAGTAGTCAGGAATGGAGAAACCCAAAGAAGACTCCATCCTTGAACTCATCTTCACCATCATCTGAGGTTAGATCTTCAACTTCATGTTCGGATTTTCCATCAGCGAGTTGTAGGGAATACATCCTGAGGGCCATGGTGCCTCGACCAGCTCCATATTCCAGAGTTCTTCCTCAGAGAATGTATTGTATGTTAGTGGAAGGTGACAGCAGGTTGGCCGGAGCATTCACAGCAGATTCCACTTTTCAATAATGTTTTATTATTATTCTTGACTTTGTTTTTTAACAAAAATGTACTACACAAATGTCCATCTTCCTCTTTCAAACAAAAGAATGCCAATGGTCTTCATGGATAAGTTGTTAAGCTGTTTGCCTCGTACTCTGAAAGTTATGGGGGTGTCATGATCCTACATTTTTTGGTGCACAGGTGTCGAGAATTCTAACTTGTGGTTGTGAGGTCAAAGGTCATTGCCAAAGTAAACGGATGATGAAGAATTCATTGGACAATGATTACGAATGACTTGCACTTCCAAGGACAGCAAGAATACATCAGTGACAAACATCAGACGAATCCCTATCGTCAGCTAATTTTGTCTGACTATTGTCTGTTCCAGATAGAATGCTAATCTTGTTGACTGTTTCAAACCTAACCAGTTTTGGAACCTGACACGTGGTTCTTTTGAAGGATTGTGACTGGCTGGTTCTGCACCACTTGGTGGTAAACTGATGCATAACAAGCTGGATGTTATGAGGGCCCTTTGGGAGCAAGTGAACAGTGCCGAGGAGCAGATAGATCATTACGATCTGAGGAGAATGGCGCTGTGAGGAATTACCAGGGGATCTGGCCAAGGCTCGACACTGAAGGGAAAGGCGAGAAGATTATACAATCAAACAGTTTCTGGTACCATTTTAACTCTTCGCTTGCTGCTGAAGATAAGGATGAAACGTTTATGGGGGTGTCCCGAGTGCTGTGATGTCCATTCTTAATTCAACATTAAAAATTTTTTAAGGATTGTGTAGTTCAGTTTATGAGTCTTGAGTTTCCTGGGGAACCCCTACCTGTGCGATGCTGTTCTCGTGTGGTAGCTATTCTACGGAGCATTGGTAAAGTTGGTAGAAGAAACAGACTGAGCCTCAAAGGATAAAACCTGGCTGAGTGCAGACCTGGTAAGGAGAACTCACCAGGGATCCAAGAAATGGTTCTTAGAAAATCCTCTTTCAAGCAGTAAAAATTGCCGGGGTTAACAAATTATTCTTCATTACAGAAATTCGCCACATCCTAAATTGCCTTAAGTGGCATGCACTGTACAGAAGACTTCTCAACTTTAACCTTTTAAATAAACATACCTAAAGGACCCTGCTCTGTGCCACTGGATAAATTGGGTAAATGTTGTTTTATCACAATCGACGTCACAGCACATTGGGCATTCCCATGCATGCTCAGTCCTCCGATGCAGCAGCCACTCCAAAGTACTTCTACTAATTGTTCCCATGAGAAGCTGGTTATATTGTCTCCTATCTCGGCCTCAAAGACGGCATAGACGTGCTTCACCATGCTTTACTCCCATGTCACGCAATCGTGTTAGTGTCATGTAATCCTCATTATCCTCTTGCCCAGTCCGTACAGCGTTGACAATATCTGCTCTGTCCATGCCGTTTAATTAAATATGGTAAATTGGGTAAATATTTCTCATTTCCACGCCTGCATATGTACTAGGCATATTATGCTAGTCCCAGATTTGTATATATCCATTGGCAGTCTGTGATGGAGTTGGTGTTCTGCTGGCGACCTTTAGTTTCACAATTTGCTAATACCAGTTTAAGGCAGAGTGATTGAGTTTATGGTACTAGCTTCATGTTTTTAGACTACCCAGCAGTCCCTGAGTTTACATGCTAAATTTCATGCCATTTGACTTTACTTGCCAGAATATTTCCTTCCGATTTTTAGGCTTTGTCACCCTAGAAACTTGATTTAGTAATGTTTTTTTTAAAAATTAAATTTCCTGCACAAGTATGGATTGATAAGTTGATCACCTGTTGTCAGGCAAGTGTGCTAGCCATAGAGCTACCGCAGCTTCCTTCACCATATAATTTTGATTTATTCATGTGAATGAGCAGGCAATATTGTTGACTGGACTCGCCTCACCGTGTGGGGGGAGGGAGCTGTGTACTGCATCTACAGAGTTTACAGTTGGTCAACACTAAGAAGAAGAAGATTCAAGTTGCAGGCAGTATGACAGCAGACCGCTTTGTATTGTTTTGGCAGTTGTATCTAGAGTTGAGTATCAAGAAGGCAATGGGGAAACTATTGAACATAAAATTGCATAGTAGAATCAAAAACTGCACTACAAAGACACTTTTAGCTTTCACGTTGTGACAGTTTATGATGAAGAAGAAATGCTGGGGTTTATTTTGCAGCATTCTCTAAAGCAGTGATTCCCAAACTGTGCACCCCGAGAGCCGCGACCTCTTCACAGGGCTGCTGCAAAATAATCGAAGATAAGCGAGTTTTTTTTTTTTTTATCTATTTCATACGAAGAGCCATACTTTTACTTGGGTTAGGGCGCGGTGGAAACATTTTAATTTTTTTAAAAAGGCGCCGCGACTAAGACAAGTTTGGGAAACACTGCTCTAAAGGATACACAACTAACTTCTACACCCAATACCTGCCCTAATCTTTATGAGTCCTTTAAATACAAAGTCTGCTCTGTGTTGAGTCTGTGATGTTTAAGTACTTTCAAGCATACATTCAGAGATGAACATATTTAGAGATGCACATACTGCAGTGTTGTATTGTGTAAACTACAGCCAGTGTAATATTGTACTCTAATGCTGTGATATTATACTGCCTAAAGACTATCTATGATGTAAACTGTGTTTATGAGCCCATCAACAGAGCACCATCTGTCTACAGTGCCTGATCTTGCAGGCAGCGCCACCCTAGGAAATGGACCTTCGGTCAACAAAATGGATATAATCAGTGCATACGTGCTGGAGACCTATAACATGATCCTCTTTTTTATTTACAGGCCGTAAGCTCCAGCGTAAAGTCCTTGCTGCTTGTCCATTTGGACTTAAGCTTTGTACCAGGGCATGAGTTTTGCATGTACATCGGTAATTGGTTTTGCTGGCTTACTTGTGTGCAGTTGTTTGTTCTTTGCCGTTCGTGCAGATGCACTCCAACTTAGAGGAAACTCCCTGTTAGTTGACTCCTACAACATGCTTACATGCTTATTGAGGTGGCAGGGGTTCTGTTCTTGTTTTCCCCACAGTGGGGTCTGAAACCCGCACAGGGATCAAACATGATGATGATTTCTGTCTAAGTCAGATGCAAAGTCTAGATATACCAACTGGAGCAGCTTGGAGTGAAAACCACGCAAGAGCTCACTGTCGCTACATCAGCCAGTACAGAACTGGAGTTGTCAGGGTAAAAATGCCAAGAAATATGCTTAGAAGAAGAATTGGAACAGGGCTATTCAACTGACGACCTGAGGATTATTGCCAGTGATCATTAATAGACACAGTGGACAAGAGTCTGTGTGCATTATTTCTGGTTGTTTGGTAGAATAACCAGATTCTTTCCTTGTTGCTTGTTCATATCTAAACTCAGATCATTGCATTGTATTAATGATCATTTTGTACTGAGGATCAGGCCTGTAGCCCATGACTACCCAAATTTTCAAAATTGTGGCCCTTGAGTTAACTCAACTCTGACCTTAGGGTATACTGATGTGCAATAAAGATGATCTTGAACAGCAAAAGAGTGCCATGTTTCACCTCCACATTTATGGCAGCATCCTTGTTGGATGGTGTGGTATGCTGATGATCTCTCCCTACCTTCACCTGAGTGCTGACACAATACTCAAGTTCTGGAATAAGACCAAAGTCTAGAAGTAGACAAGCTGGAATTTTCCATCAGAGTTTACGGCCGATAAAAGCAAAGAATAATAGGAAGATTATATAACGTTTTTTTTTTTTTTTACATAGGATTTCATTAAGATGCTTTTCCATCCCCCCCCCCCTCCCCCCTCCCCCCTCCCCTCCTCAGTTGCTAAGCTCCTTCACTTCAAGCTGTGGTTGAATGCTATTGTTTGCAAGTCTAGTACATAGGTTCTAAGAGACTGGGAATGAAAATGGGGTTGCTTAAGAGAAAAAGACAGTGAACAAACATTTGCTGCCACATTAACTTCTTCTTCTTCTTCTTTGTTCACCGGTTGTAAGCTGCAGCAAAAAGTCCTGGTTGTTCGTCCATGTGGACTTTGGCTTTGGCACATGCATCCTTTTTACTGGCTTATTTGTGTGCAGTTGGTTGTTCCTTGTTACTCTGACTTCGAAGGAAGACTCCAGTTAGTCAACTCCTACTACATGCTTGGTGGGGGGAGGGGGGGGGTGTGGAGAGGATCTATTCTCCCCCCCTCCCCACAATCGGCCCTGGAACCTACAAGGGGAGCCTCATTAACTGACATAACACTTGTAAAACAAAACATTTACCATACAGAAGGGAAAGATTGAAGGCAAGATAAATTCAGTGATATCATTGGAGGTTAGCATCATGATTTAGAGGAACAGCAGTTTGTAAGACAGCAGAGCGACAGAGCCTGTTAGAGAAGAATTGCAGCCAATCTTCACTGTGGAGATAGCCCCTGATAGGTTGGTTCTAAACTCAGCAGTCTTTTACACTATGCAGGTAAATATTCCTCTACAAATGGGAGACTTGTAAGTGGAAATGCATTGCAGTTAATTTAATAGAATGACCAACAGGAAGCTGTGTAGAGTTTCCTTGTAAACGATTCATTAGATTCTTTGTGTTTTCTGTTTCTGGTGGGATCAGACATTAAACATATATACTTATAAAATCGTCAAATGTTATGTATTCTCAACCTTACTGTTTGGCACAGAGACATGGACAATTGTCACATATCACTCCTGTCGCGTGCCTAATGTAAGGATTTCTCCTTCAGAACCAACAGCACTCAGAGATAATTATGTTGAGTCGTTTGGCTCGTATTGGTCTAAGGGATTCCCCGTGGCCAATATACGCTCAACTTATCTCTGGAGTAGGGCAACTCAAGTATTGGCACTACAAAATATATCAGTATATAAATACAATATTTCTAGGCACACTTGGCTGGACACCCCCACTACTTACTAAAGAAAGCCCCCAGGTTATGATAGTTCATTATCATAACCATGTTAACACATATAATGAAGATACATACATACACAACTGCTAAACACTTAAAAAGGTGAAAT